TGGATCAACCTAGACACACGTGAGTTACCAGTCGAATACCAAATTGCGGGTTACAAACTGTTCCATACCGATAGGCAGACCAGGAAAGGAGGCGGAGTAGCAATCTATGTTAGGGATAATCTGAAGTGTGAAATAAATAAGGAAATAAAAACTGAGAGGAATACAGAAACAATTTGGATAGAATTAAGCGACGGTCGGGAAAAATTAATCACAGGAGTAATAAATAGACCCCCCAATCTTGATAGCGTCAATGAGCGACTTATCTGGGATGAAATGCGCAGGGCTTCCATACACAACAAAGTCTGTATAGTAGGCGACTTTAACCTTGGCCAAATAGATTGGACTGACCTTACGGGTAACTCAGAATCACAGGATTTTCTCGAGACGATCCAGGACTGTTTCCTAAGTCAACATATAACCAAACCCACACGGGGTAATAATATACTGGACTTAGTTCTGTCGAACAGAGAAAACCTAATTAGCAATGTCGAGGTAGGGAACGAACTTGCAAACAGCGATCACAAAGAAATTCGATTCCAGTTAGATTTTCAGGGCAGACGTAAGGAAAATTCCACTAAAGTACCAGATTTCAGAAGGGCAAACTTTGACAGTTTAAAGAGGCAGCTGAGAGAGGGGGTGTCGCGCTTGGCTGTGAATCTGACTGATGTCACCGACCTGATAACGAGATCTGAGATTGCCGAGTTCCACGACAATTTAAATATTGAGTTACTTAATGCACAAAGGCAGAACATACCATACAAAAAACTCAGATCAGACAACAATGACCCTAAATGGAAAAATAATTATTTAAAGAACATCAGTGGCCAAAGGAAGGCTATAGGTAGAAGGATAAATCGTGGCGAAATTCACCTCCGTGACTATTATAGGGTATTGGCGAGTAGGGTTAAAACCGAGATAAGGAAAGCAAAGAGGAATAATGAGGTAAGGATAGCAAGGGAGGCGAAGACAAACCCCAAAGGATTCTACCAAATGTATCAAACTAAAACACGAGAAAAGATTGGACCAATACGGTCAGACACCGCCGAGCTCACTGATAACGACAGAGAAATGAGCAATAATATGAATAAATATTTTTCAACAGTTTTCACCACCGAAAATTTAAACATGATACCCGGGGCACCGACTTTATTCAGAGATAGTGAAGAAAACAAATTAAGCGAGATAGTAGTGACTAGTAACGATGTTAGTAAGCAAATAGACAAACTAAAGCCTAATAAGTCACCTGGTCCTGATGAGATATTTGCCAGAGTATTAAAGGAATGTAAGGAAGAGCTTAGTATGCCCTTAGCAAAGTTGTTTAACATGTCCTTAAAAACAGGTGCAGTACCAGAATCCTGGAGGATAGCGAATGTAATACCGATTTTCAAGAAGGGGATAGATCACTATCCTCTAACTACCGCCCAATCAGTCTAACATCAATAGTAGGCAAATTACTGGAAGCAATCATTTCAAACTCTATTCGAAATCACCTGGAGAAGCACTGATTGATCAATGATTCCCAGCATGGCTTCACAAGCGGACGTTCTTGCCTAACTAATCTATTAACATTCTTTTCATCAGTTTTCGAATCGGTGGACTAGGGGCACAATTATGATGTGGTATATCTCGACTTTAGCAAAGCTCGGACAGGAGTCCCCACGAAAGACTAATTAGAAAGGTAGAAGCCATGGCATCAAAGGTACATCCTTAAATGGATTAGGGCGTGGTTACAGGACAGGAAACAGCGAGTGAGCATTAACGGCACTAAGTCCCATTGGAGCAACGTCACAGTGGAGTTCCCCAAGGCTCAGTACTTGGACCATTATTATTTATTATATACATAAACGACATAGATATCGGCATAGACAGCAACATAAGTAAATTTGCTGATGACACTAAAATAGGACGTGTTATTAAATCTGACGAGGACTAAAACTACAGGAAGATCTAAACAAATTTTTCGAATGGTCTGAAAAATGGCAGATGAAATTCAACGTGACAAATGTAAAGTACTCAGTATAGGAGATGTAAACAGGGAAACCAGATACCAGATGAACAACGATGCCATAGAGAAATCCGACTGCGAGAGAGATTTAGGAGTAATGATAAGTAGGAACCTTAAGCCAAGTAAACAATGTGTTTTTGCTCGTAACAAGGCTAATAAAGTACTTGGGTTCATACAAAGGAGTGTTAGTTACAAGACTAGCGAGGTCATCCTAAAACTGTATCTTGCTCTTGTGAGACCACACCTGGATTACGCAGTTCAGTTCTGGTCACCGTATTACAGAATGGATATAGAATCCTTGGAAAGAATTCAGAGGAGAATGACAAGACTAATCCCGGGCATTAGGAACCTTGAGTATAGAGACAGGTTAAAGCATATTAATTTGCACTTCCTTGAGAGACGTAGAGCGAGGGGCGACCTGATAGAGGTGTATAAGTGGAAGGCAGGGCTAAACAAAGGGGACATTACAAAGGTACTCAAACTATCCAACCAGGAGCGAACTCGTAACAACGGTTTTAAATTAGACAAATTTAGATTTAGGCGTGAAATAGGTAAACCCTGGTTTGGAAACAGAGTAGTGGATGAGTGGAACAAGTTACCAAATATCATCATTAACTCGAATACGCTGAATTGCTTCAAACATAGGTTGGATGCTCATATGAGCAATAGGGGTTGGGTATAAACGGGACTGCCCAGTATGGGCCAATAGGCCCGCTGCAGTTTCCTCCATTCTTATGTTCTTATGTTCTTAAGGAAGTAAGTCATATTGCTAGCAGCCACACGGTCCACACCGGGCAGATGCAAATTAAAAATATAAAACGTGTTGGAACGTGTTCCGTCTGTTACAGAACCACCCGGCGGCACCACGGTGGAACAGGATTTTTACCCCTACTCTTTGCTTGTAATAGTGTTGCCCCCCTTCCCCCCAAGCAAAATTTGAAATGACGCCCCTGCTGTCTCCCAAGATGGCCTAAACCTAAACAAAAGAAACCTAACTTAATCTAACTTAACCAAACCAAACCTAACTAAACCAAACCAAATCAAATCTAACCAAAACAATCCAAACCAAATCTAACCAAACCTAAACTCGAATGAGTAAACTTCCCTGTTTTTAAAGTGGAATATTTCGACACAACAATACGCATCTTGAGTTCTCAGAAGAGTATATTAGAACCAAATTGTCAAAGCTCAAGGTTGATAAGAGCCCTGGCAGTGTGTGTGTGTGTGTGTGTGTGTGTGTGCATCAATGAGTGTTAAGAGAGCTGCACAACGAGCTTGCCGAGCCCTTAAAATACTGTTCTGTAGATGATTGACGAGCAAATGGCTGGAACATGGCGTATGTGAGTCCTATATTCAAAAGTGGTGATGATTGCCTGTGCACAAGCAACTAAAGACGGGTGAGCATGACCAGCATAGTGTGAAAGTGGTAGCGATTATAATCGCTACCACTTTCACGGGCGTATTGATAATTATCAATACGCCCGTGATGGAACTTCTAAGGAACAACCTTGAGAATGAATGTCAGCTGTGTGTATGCCCGAACGCTCCTGTTTGACGCAATTGTTTAAGATGCTGGACGTGTGGACACAGGCCTTGGCGCGTGGTGGCAATATTGATAACATATATCTTGAGTTTGCCAAGGTACTTGATAGTGTACATCACAAAAGGCTGAAAATTAAACTGGAAGAGAACATCTTAAATTGGATTTTTTTTAAATTAAATTTCGCCTATAAGGAGACAAACGCACCAGATGACAACGTAAAAAGAAAATATAATTATTATATAGCGTATTTAGAGACTTTCTACATGACCACAACCAGTGTGTGTTATTAGTGGCACGAAATCGTCATGTGTACCTATGACAGCAGGGAGTCTCAGGGTATTATAGTAAGCTGGAACCGTTGTTGTTTGTTTACTTTATAGATTATAAGTCAGATGCTATTCAATCTTCTAAACAAATATTTGCAGACGACGTTAAGCTATTCAGGGATATTAACAGCCGAACGGTCATGGACTGGGCTTCGATTGTGACCGCCTCTGGTAGTCATTTCGCTCCGCCCCTCTACATTCAACAATCTCAGGGTGTTATAGGTTATGCCATCCTCACCAGGGGAGGATGACTCACCTTTCATTAGTGCTGTTGTTAGTTCGTGGTGCGTTATAAGAAACTGGTCGGTAAGGTCTGGTGAGGAACAGGCTATTTCAATATTGAAACCCCTATTAATGTGTGAGGTGTTAAGATATTGCTGTATGTCAGGAGGCAGGGAAGTGATTTGTGACACACTAGACCATTGGTCTAATTGCATGTCAGCATATTCTGCAGGGCTGTGATGTATTTCCTTCTTTGTGTACGAACCTCTGTCCTGCATGACAGTGAACAGTGGCATTACCCACATGAATCTGACTTATATATAGTGTCAATGAATATGATGCATTCTTTGTGTACGAACCTCTGTCCTGTATGGCAGTGAAGAGTGACATTACCCACATGAATCTGACCTACGTATATGTATGTATGTGTGTGTATGTGTATGTATGTATGCAAGTATGTATGTATGTATATATATATATATATATATATATATATATATATATATATATATATATATATATATATATATATATATATGTATATGTATATGTATAAATATGTGTATGTGTGTGTGTGTGTGTATGTATATGTATATGTACTGTCAATGAATATGATGCATCTCTTTGTGTACGAACCTCTGTCCTGCATGGCAGTGAACAGTGACATTACCCACATGAATCTGACCTCTATATATTTATAGCTGTTAATGAATATGATGTATTTCTTTGTGCATGAACCTCTGTCCTGAGGGGCAGTGAGAAGTGATACCACCCTCAGTGTCAAGACCTGCCTGAATTACTCAGAATAGGCAAACTGTACTACAAGCTTTGCCAATAAATTTGTTAAACTAAAAAACTACACTGTGGGGCTCGGTCACTCACTCACACTTAACTCACACATTACCTTGCTCGTTATTCGTGGTGACTCATCTCTTGAAAGTGAAGCAACTCTATTTCTCCTTAACCCTGACAAGTGCAGCTCAGTTCACTTACTCATATAAAAAAAAAAACTGAGTTAACGGGCTTGTTCTTGGGTACATATTTTTCTACCAAATATCTGACTTTAGCGTCCATTATTTATCTTGCAGAATCCGCATCGTTATTGTTCATATATTTAGACCAACGTTCCTTCCTTCCTCTCTCACCCTGTTGTAATTACCCTTGAATATTTGAACCTTGGTCCGCTGTCGCCTTGTGTACCAAATATATTTACTTCTGAAGGACAATGTTGCCTCATGGTTACTGTCATTGGGGGATAAATGTATCACTGAGTTAGCTGCCTCTTATAGGATTAATTCATTTCAAATGTAATAAAAAATCACTTAGCTGCTCCATAGCTTGAGGTTATAGGCGTTAATTTAGGGTCATTTACAAAGTAGAGATTCACCAATTATTCGATAAAGCTGATAAAAGTCCACAAACAGAAACTACCACCACAAGACACAAGACACACACTAACCGTCATTACTTCTCCAATGTCAACCTCCTCCTATTGCATACCAAAGACCTTGGGCTCACTTCACCCCTAATATAATAATGACCTCTTGGAATATTCTCTCGCCAAAACGCCACGCGTCTCCTTTTCACGTTGACAATGGCACCCCCTACGAGATGACAGCGAGAACTATTGGAATTTATTAAGTATGTAAGGACTTGTAGAGGTATGGCAGCCTCGTCCTCAGCACGTCTGGCGCCGCGGATGAGTGAGTGAGACATTATACACAAGCGTTTCATTGTTAGGCTCCACACAACACGGGAGTGGTATACGGCCCGTGTACCTCACTGAGTTTTCAACGACTGATGACGATTGTACGTACTTTTGTCTTCAACTAACCTAGAATACACGCTATAAAGACCTTTTAGTTACAGAACACTGGGCAAAGAGCTTGAAGGTCGTAACAACAGACGCCTACTAGGAAGTTAAATGATATTAATATATACAGTACAACAACATCCACTCACCAAAGGTTAATACAATTCATTCTATTCATTCACAGACGGTACAGATACAGCAACAAAGACAGTATTCAAACCCACAACAGAACAGTCCTATCTTCAAGAAAGGCGATCGTCACTCCACGAACAACTACTGTATAAACCGGTGAGCCTGCATGACCAGCATAATACGAGTATGTAAAGTACTTGAGAGTATTATCAGAGACGCCGCGATGGAACATCTACTTCGAAACAGCCTTGTAAAGGATCGCCAACACGGGTTTATGCCGGGGCGCTCTTGCTTAACTCAATTGCTCAAGGTATTGGATATTTGGACCCATATTCTGGAACGGGGTGGTAATATCGACAATATATACCTAGATTTTGCCAAGGCTTTCGACAGTGTACCCCACGAAAGGCTGAAAATCAAACTGGAAGGGTTCGGAATTCGGGGAAATCTCGTAGCATGGATAGAAGACTTTCTACATGACCGCAAGCAGTGTGTGATGATTAATGGCACGAAATCGTCATCTGTACCTGTCACAAGTGGGGTACCACAGGGCAGTGCATTGGGCGATGACGCCAAGTTATTTCGGGAAATCAAGAACCATGCAGACTGTGAAGAGCTGCTGAGATTCAATGCCACGAAGCGTAAGAGGATGCACCTGGGGCTTACCAACGGTAAAGAGGCGTACCATATGTCCCAACGGGATGAAGAAACTGCACTATTTGAGACTGAATGCGAGAAGGACCTAGGTATGTATGTTGACAATGAGCTGAAGTTCTCGGGCCATTGCGAGAAGAAGGTACGTCAGGCAAATAAATTATTGGCTCATAAGAAGGTCGTTCAGATATCTAGACGGTCCGTCCCTCGTAACGATCTTCAAGAGTGAAGTGCTTCCC